GGTTCAAAAACATTGAATTTTTGAAAGAAAAAAAAGTTATTTTCCTGCAATCAGTAAGAATTGAGCTTGACTGGAAGGAGATTTTAACTTTATTTTTGAAAATGAAGATGCTGAATGTTACAGTGCAGCAAATATTATTTATTAAGCTATTTTCTTAGGATCTCTTCCCATTTTTAAAAATGATGGAGGATGCCCCAAAACATTTTGTTTGTATGGGTTACATTTATTTACCTTATTAAAAATAAAAATTGACACATTTTCTTCCACTACCACTTCTCAAAATTGCTTGATAGGATTTTAATACACAGTTATTTTTCAATGGACTCCAGTGATTGTTGGACCATACTTTGTAAAACACTGCTATAATGGATAGGCAAATTCTGAAGTGTATAGACCTGGGAAAACTAATGTATTGCATGGGGTAGGCTAACAAAAAAAAATTGTATTCTCTTTGACCCATACACTATTCTTTATGATGTTCAATGTTAATATTTGTTTTCTTCTTAAAGATGTCAGAAAATTATACCTTGATTTTTTGGTGATTTGGGCCTAGCAAGCCACCCTGGAGCCTCAGGGGAGCCAAAATGGGGTGCGGGAGGGCTGTACCATACTCCCTGCACTCCATTTTGTGCCTAGAAAGCCTCCCTGGAGCCTCAGAGCCCAAACAAGATGTGGGAGGCTGCACCGCCCCCATGCCCCGTTTTGGGCCTAGGAGGCCTCCCTGCACTTACCTGGCAGCCAGAACCATGTGTGTGGGGACTCCTGGGAGGGGTGGGTGGGGCAGGGTGGGGCGGGATCAGCTGGTTTTCAGAACTACCAGTTCACCAATCTGGATGTAAAATTAACATCTGGTTCATGTGAACCAGCCCAAACCTGCTGAATTCCATCCCTGCGCTTAGGATTGTGGCTTATTGATTTTTGAATATATATTGGGAGGGTGAGTGGGAAGCAAGGAACATTACTGTGTATTTTGAACTAAGTCACAATAGTTTAAGTTAGTAATGATTCCTGGGAAACTTGGAATAAGAACTTGGCTTTTGTGAGCAGTCCTAAAGCATTTGGTGGTACACTGAAGAAGAATCATGTCTAAGTGCTTTCTGCCATCTGCCTCACAACACACAAAAACACTGACAGAAAGTGGTTTTTTCTCCCCCAAAAGATCTCTCACTTCTTATCTGTGACAGTTCTTTTTTGACCTTCTCTTTCTGGTTATTATAGGCAGACTCCTTTCTAACTAAATCCTTTTACTTTTATTCCCTTGCCTATTTCTCATTTCTCTCTCTTTCTCTCTTGGTGTGGTCACTGCTGAATTTTGCTGAATTGAACACAAAAGAACAAAAGCTATAATAAATACTGGTGGAAAATGAGCTCATCTCAAGGTTTTTTTTTCTCCCCCCCCAAGTGATTTTTCTATAATTTGAGAGTGTTCAAGAAATCCTATCATTATAGAATAATATGCAATGGCAGATGCTGCTTCCCTCAGTCACAGCTTTGATGCTGATAGTACTGTATGTCTTTTTCATCCTTGGATTCACTCTTGGGGGTTACCCCATGCTACAGTGGAGTTTATTTTGGCCACAGAGCAGACAGCAGAAGCATTCTGGCCTGGTTTCTTTCCATAAGGAATGTCTCTAGTTGCCATGTTTTTGTCTACTTCTCTAGAACACCATCTGTGAATTTTCTGTTGTTACAGTAATTCTATCTATTTTCTTTGTGCAGAAATGATGCCATGCTCTCATTGATTGGAGCCTTATTTGTGGCTATAAGCTTCATTCTCTCTAATGTTAGAATACCATATGCCAGTCTTTAGAGTTGGTATTCAAAGGCCTTGGCTATCTAAGTTAAAATGTGAAGAACCATTAGAAAAGAGTTAAACGAAGTGCATTTTTCTCTTTCTGGGGGAACTCTTTCATATGGGTGTTGTCCAGTTATTGTCACTTATAGCGTGGAAAAAATTCTGACTCTTAAATTATTTGGGAGATGGAACAGCATGACTGATTTCTCGTACACTGAGCCTTCTGGGAAAATGGAGCCATCTAGAGTTGATGCTGGGAGAATTGTCTCCTCTGTTCTGCCAAGTTAATGTCTCTAAATCTATAATTTCTCTCCCCAAAATACAGAGCCTAAATTCAGAGGAATTATAACTTAGATTTCCAGTTACAGAAATCATGTTGGATGTAGTCATATTTTCCTCAGTGATAACATATTGTTTGTGCCTGGAGCAGAGAAGTCAGCTGGATCCAAAGTAATAAACGAGGAACAATTGGACATTCATCACACCATAAACTGTTCAATAAGACAAGGGTTACTCTATAAAATATGATTTTACTTATTCTTTGTTTCTTATTCTGAAGAACAGAAATATGAATTAGCCACCAAAGACTGATTTGCTACTCTTATGTCTCATCACTTGTTTTCTTGTAAAACATTGTGTCAAATGTCATCTGGCAAAAGCTCTGTCAGTGGTATATATTTTATGATAGTTGTGCAACATGTAAGAATGCAGTCTGAAAATCTGAAACAAGACAACAGGAATGTGCCTGGGATTTAAATTATAGTTGGTTGAGTAAGGTTTTTTGATTCAAATGGAACATGATGTAGATTACAGACTTTCTCAAACTTTCTGGAAATAAATAAACTATTGTTGGCTATCCAGTTTGGAAGTACAAATAAGTACCAAGAATTATGAGCAGCTTATTTCTGTTTTTAGGCTAACCTCACAAACTTTGGGAAGAAAACAAAAGAGAGATAAAAGAGACAGTTTTTGTATTAGCAAACCTGAAGTGATTTTAAGTGTTCTACTACAAAGAGTAAACAGAAGACAAATCAAATAGGATTATCTAGTGCTAAGAGAATGTGGATTCCAGAAAATAGGTCTCTAATTAATACTCAGCATTTCCCTTATGCAAGATTTGTTGTTGAGTTGATTATCTTGCTATTGCTAACCCACCCTTCCCAAAATAATCCTTCTATATTTGGAAAGTATCGAAATCTGAAATAGTAGCATAACGTAACAGCATAATAATAAGCACGTTATACCCAAATAGAGATCTTTTATATTTAAAGATGCTTTTAAGTTTTTCTTTTTAAAAAACACTTCCTGTTCTATCTGTTTATTGTTATAAGGACTAAAAGGTTTAAAAGGAACCCTAGTTTACTCATAAAAGGGTTTTTATGTATTAGTATAGTTATCAGTTATTTCTAGCATTTTAAACTTGACTTGGAAGAAAGATCCATTCTCTTGTCAGAATAACAATGGAGCTGGTTAAAACACTGCATACACTTTGAAGTTAAAAGGTTTAGCTATTGCAACCTAACAGGATTTTGCCCAAAAAGTAAAAGGATCCTATTTAAAAATAAGGTCAATATCCTACAATAGTAAATAATATATAAGTAAATAGAACAAGAAGTAAACAGTATAAAATCGTAAATGGGTAAATAAAATAATTAAATCTCTATGGATTTTATTTAGAAATAATATGTCCAGAATACTACTATGAATCCAGACATGAAATAATTTTGACCATTTTTCACAATTACAACCTTTGTAAGGAGCTGCCCCAGCTGGTCCCTCAGAAAAGTAAGACTCTTGATTCCATTTGGTTGAATCAAAACTTTTAATGAGAGAATATGGTTATAGTAAAGTCAGGTGAAATCTGAAAAAACCTGCACAAAGTACAAAGCAATTCTTTCATCCCACAAACCCAATCTCCCTGACCAGTCCACTGGCAGCCAATGTGATGCCGCAAGGTTGTTTTGAGAACTCTAGGTGCTAGGCAGATAAAAATTCACTCTCAGGAATGATGGCCTTGAAACCAGGCTGGAACTGGCTGGGAGGGAGTTTGCTCCATCTCTGAAGACAATCCCCCTCCCTAATTCCCAGGCAACACATGAATTTCCTTCTCCTGGACTTCCCAAACATGAGCAAAGTGCAAATTCCAGAGGAAAAATCTATGGCAGATTGAAATGAATCCCAATACAGAGTGTAATGGAAGACAAATTGATCACTCAGCAAATAAAAAATTTGCCACAAAAAATTTAAACTATTTTAGTGGCTATTTTGATGTTAATTTTAATACATTGTTAACCTTTTATATTCTATATATTTTTGTTTTGTTAACTACTTTTGTACTAATCAGAGCAAAAACAAAAAGAATAAATCAAATATGTGGATAAACATAGAAGCATAGCCAAATATTAAAATATGTGCTGCCAGCAACACATAGGATGAGAAATAAAGAATAGAATAGAATTCTTTATTGGCCAAGTGAGATTGGACACACAAAGAATTTGTCTTTGGTGCATATGCTCTCAGTGTACATAAAAAAAATAAAATACATTCATTAAGAATCATAAGGTACAACACTTAGTGATAGTCATAGGTTACTAGTAAGCAATCAAATCATACTAGGAAATAAATAAATCAATATAAATTGTAAAGATACAAGCAACACGGTTATAAATTACAACATTGACAAAATATGTCAAAATAGATAATTTTGAAAATATTTCTGGGAAACCTTTTAATATTTCTGTATGTTTATAAATGATATCAACAATAGCATTTCAGATTAAACTAAATCTGCTTGGACTTCAAAGAACAGAAATGAAAAACAATCTTACACTTACCACCTTTTACATGACATCTTTTGCATCCTTCCTGAATAGAGCATTGTTAGTAAATTAAAATTATGTCTCCTTTGGGAGAGCCAGTTTGATATAGTAGTGAAGGCATCAGGTAGAAATTGTGAGATCATGAGGTCTGGTCCTGCTGTAGACACAAGGCCATCTGGTTGACCTTAGGCCGCTACTCACTCTCTGCCTTAGGAAGAAGGCATTGGTAAGCTATTCTTGAAATCTTACCAAGGCATGCAGTTGCCAGGATTCAACAGCAACTCAAAGACATTAAAAAAAAAATCTCCTTTGGTATTAGATATAGCTCAATTTGCCCAGTCATTTTATTGTTTCAGGCAATAAATAGTATGTTTTCCCCCCTCTAGGTTGAAGCCAAAGGTCAAATAAACACTTGCCTTTCATCAAATTCTACCTATCTCTTGTCATCCCAATGTATTGGTTGGAGAGTCACTACTGCCATGTGTCGTCACTTCCTGCCACCCATTGGTCCTAATATCCCTTTGTCTCGTCTGCCTGAGAGGAAACCAGTATTACTGCCGCATCAAAAATTGGAGCCAGTGGTTACAGACAAGAAAACCAAACGCTTGTCTTTAAGGTATGAATTTCCTGGACCTTGTTTCAATAAAAATATTTAATGTGTTTTGATATCCTTTTAACCCTTCTCATTTTCATCATTTTCATAGCTTATAAGGTTTTGGAAGAAATATCTGAAAATTAATTAATTGGTGTGGATCAGAATTTTGGATGAAGTAAAGATTTGTCTACTTTGAAGTAAGGGGTCCCCCCTCTCTCTGTCTCTTGTTTCACCTTTCTGCATGGTTACTAAATTTAAACGAGGACTTTGAATAAGGAAAATATTTGACATGGCAATATCTAAGATTAAAGCTGTTTAAATTTCTTTTGAAAATTCATTCAATCAAGTCAGTTTGAGAAAAGGTAATGATAATCCAAGAAAAATAAATGAGTTAGAGTATATTAATAATATATTCATGGCCTAATTCTGACCATATCTGTAGAAAAGATTCAAATAACTATGTATTTTAATCCCAGAATTAAAATTTGTGATTTCATCTCAGAATGATTATGTTAATGAATTTATTTATTCTTCCTGACTAGCCCAGGAACATCCTACCAGAATGTTCTGGTGGTTCAGAACACATTCTTTCTTGAAAGACTTGAATTTATTTCTCTGATTATCCTAACTAATTTGTTGACATTCATCCTCCATGCTCATCTTTCTTCTCCTTTACTTTTCATTAAATATTGTCAATCAAATTGAAGCCCTTGAAGGATGTAGACCTGTCAATCCTTTTTAGTCAGATTTATTGACTCTCCTTAAATTAGTAATCAGAGCAAACTATTTAGCAGCTAGGGCTATATTTTATGGAAGCAAGGACAGCAGTTGATGGATCAATATGGTAATTACTGTATTTTTCGGACTATAAGATGCAGCAGACCATAAGATGCACCTAGGTTTAGCTCTTCTGGTTTGCAAGGCTTTGGCGGCAGCAGGAATCCGCGATTGTGCGCGGTTCCTGCTGCGCTCGCTGCCGAAGTGCCCCCAATCCAATTGGGTTTGGAGGATATGGTTGCCCCGTAGAGGCAACCAAAGATAGGGGAGATCCAGATAGGGGTTTGGGGGTATCGCAAACCCCCTCCCCAGCCAGCTAAACTCCCTTTTCCCAAGGCGGTGGAGTGGCAGTCAGCAATGGCCGCCACAAAGAAGCCTGCAGCTGGACAAGATTGCGCAGGAGGAAGTTGGAGAAAGTGAAAGTTTTTGGCTGAACCGGGACAACGAGAACCTTTTAATACCCTGGAAACTCAATCTTTTGAATGATACATTGTTTCCCAGAAAGACTGTAAAAGCGGTGGAAGAAAGTCTGAAAGGGAAAGTTATTTTCTCTCACTCTCCTTCCCTACGGAAATAGCTGATGGAAATCTGAAAAACCTGCTTGGGCACAGAAGGTAATTAAACTTGAAAATTAAAGATTTTTGAACATTGGAATTAAAAATTAAAATCTTTTTGCTATAAGTGGGAAGGAAGAGGTAAAGAATTTACTTTAAGACTGTACTGGAGGAGACTGCTTGGAGTTTATAAGACCAGAAGTAGATGGTGATAAGACTTCTAAAAAAATATTTTGGAACTATGTAATTGAATTCTACCCCAGGAAGAGAAAATATAAAAAGAAGAAAGTGCTAATGAAATAGTTTATCTGGATTTGGACTGCTTTGTGACTTTGGGACTTTTGGGAACTATTTCTTGAAAGAATAAAAACATTCGTTTTTTTTTTAAAATGGCTTTATCTGTTGAAGAATTACAAATGGAATTTCAAAAATTGAAAGAAGAGGAACAAGAAGGCAAGGGCTCTTCTGGATCTATTTTTCACTTTTTAGAAATGGCGATTTTCACCTACCAGGAAATACAACAACAAGGAAGCTGGGATGAAGAAGAAGAAGCCATCTTTAATGGACACATAAGCTTAGTTGAAGAAGAAGAAAAGAGAAGGGGGGGGGAAAGAAAATGGAGAATTTAGAATCTAAAAAAGCAACCAGGAAAGGGAAAAATAAGGTGAAAAATCGACACAATGTCAGAAAGCAACAAAAAAGAGAAATACAACAGAGAGGGGTGATTAAGAGAGTGGAGATTGAGAGATGGGGGCTCAAAAAGGCTAGAATTGATAAGAAAGGAAGGGAAAAAGGGAAAAGAAGTCATAAAGGTTTAAAACAAGATGTTAAAAACAGGTTTTTTTTAGAGACAAACGGTAAAATATAATTTAAAAAAAAAGATTCTGCAAAAGTATATGACTGTATTGTAGATATTAGTATTTGAAATTGAGTTAGTAAATTGAAATATATGAGTTAATAATAGTAAAGGAAATGTATAAAAATGTTTAAGATTCAACAATGGAGCTTAATTTTCCATGGAATATTGTTTTTATTATATTACAAGCTTACTTTTTTCCCCTTTGTTTTAATATTCTAAATGTAGTATTTAGAATGTACTAAGCAGAATCAGTATGGAAAGTATATATTATTTTAAGTGTTAAATTAGGGGAAAGATAAAAAGTTGTCATACTTCAACCAGTGATTACAGGAGAAATATTGTATCAGCAAGAAAAGATAAATAGATAATTGAAAGAGAACGGACAAAAGATGCAAGTATAATTATCTAAATTGAGATGAAATAAATTAAATAGAACCAAGAGAGTGAATAGAAGGGAGAAAACATATAGAAAATATAGAATGTTAAATAAGATATGAAATAGTATATTAGGTGAGTATGAATTTGATTTATGTCTGTACAAAAAGATCTAACCCGGAGCAAAGCCGCTTTCCAAAAAGAAGTTTTATGTATGTTTGTTTTGTGTTTTATTTGTCTATGTTTGAATTAATAGAACTTTAGAAGAATGTTGGAAGAGAATAATGAAATTGCAAAAAAGACAGATGGTTACAATGAATCTATATAAATTAAGGCAAAAAATATATAATTGAATAGAAGGGAAGGGAGAAATAGAGAGAAGTTGGGAAAAAATATGAGATATATAAGATAAATATGTATATTAAATTGTATTTGTATGGAATGTGATAATTTGGAATTATGCTGTCCTTAAATAAGAAGTTTTACTTGATGTTTTTTATTTGATTCTACGTTTTGTTTGTGTATTGTTTTTAAAAATTAATAAAATTTGTTTTAAAAAAAAGATCCACCTAGGTTTAGAGGAGGAAAACAAGGGGGAAAAATAGATTTTTGCCTCTGCGCGTCCCATTTTTACCCTCCCTGATGTCCAGAAGTACTCTGACGGCCAAAAATGGTCCCATTTTTAGCCTCTGGAAGCCTCCACGGGTCCCGTTTTTGCCCTCCCTGGCATCCAGAAGCACTCTGCAGGCCAAAAACAACTTCCCCAACTCCAGGGAAGGCAAAAATGGGACCTGCAGAGGTCTCTGGAAGCCAAAACAGACCCATTTTTGGCCTGCAGAGTGCTTCTGGATACCAGGGAGGGCAAAAACAGGATGTATGGAGAGTTTGGGAACCCAAAAACAGGCCCGTATTCACTCTATAAGATGCACAGACATTTCCACCCACTTTTTGGGGGGAGGGGGGAAGTGTGTCTTATAGTTTGCAAAATACGGTATTTATTTTTAAGATTTATAAGACCACCCAGCTTTTGGCAGAAGACAGCATAAAAAATAAATAATTTAAAAAGAAAAAAATAACAATAAAGAAATACAAAGTATACATGCAAAATGTAATATATAAAATGATGACCAGTGATATCACTAAAGGGGATAGAGGTGAAATTTCGGAGCTGTATCATTAGGTGGTTTTTGTTCCTACAACTGTCTCGATATACACTGGTTAAAAAAAATCATTGCTTGAATATGGGAAGCCCCATATTCTATCTTAATGATAGAATTTCTGATGACTTTAGAAACCGTAAAAATAGATTCCAGAATTTGCTTAGTAATAAATATAGTTTACTTGCCCACAGATCGAGCATGCCAACTTTAAGATGGGTTACTTTTGTACTTGATCTTAGAAGGGTGTGCTTAAGTACATATTAAAAATCTGATGATGACCACATGAGAAAACTGGACAGAGGAATGTAAAAACTAGTCAGAGCAGCAAAAATGTGATTCAATACACAATTGAAACTGAGATAGTTTTAAAGAGATAGTTTGTTGATTTTGGCAGTGACTATGCTAAGAATTTTGGTGACAACTTAGGAGGGAGCCTGGATGCCTGTGTTACATCATTAGGGGACACAAACAACCTGTAAGCTGTATTTGTTCATCTCTGATTATATTGATAATCTTATGGTAAAAATACCACTAGATTTTTGCAATATTTTGAAGTTTCACATTCTTGAAATTAAGACCATTTATTAAAGGACAAATATGAAAGTATACTAACTAAATTTTGCTTGCCATTAAGTAGGTCTTCATGTCAGTATAAATCAAATCAATTGAAATGATGCTAATAATATCCAAATGTTGATTAGGTAACACTCTACTTTAATCAGAATGATCCTGGGTACCAATTTTGTTGTGGGAGGTAAAGCAACTCCATTGTCATTCTATACAGATAGTCCTTATGACTGCAAATGGGACTGGGATTATCATTGCAAAGCAATGAGGTCATAAAGTATGCTGTCAGGTGATGACATTGGTTAGCAATGGCAATTCTGATTGCTCTTTTAACCCAAGACATGTGGGTTACTAAGCAGGAAGTGGAGCGAATTCCAGGTAAGGAGCAGGGGTGATTTTGTTTCCTGGCTTTAGCAAATGGGAAAGACATTCATGCAGTTGGCAACCAAATTGCAGGCATGATAGAGGTGCTTGGGGATGAAGCTTTCAGTGGTCCTGGGCATGACAGAAGGGAGTATTTGTGGGAGCAATATGTTTGCAGTGAGACGTATAAGGACATCAGGATGGCTTGTCAGGAGAAATGATGACAGAGGGGAGGCAAATGAAGTGGAGTTGTGGAAGCAAGAGAAAGCATGCACTTGTCAACAACAACTTACTATCGGCTAAGGAGAAGGTATAATCCAAGTACACATTCTGTAATCCAGTGCCTCACAAGAGTTTGAAAGTATC